CCCGGGCTCCACGCCTCCCCGCTCCCTCTCTCATTCATTCCCCCTCATGGTCCTTACCAGAAGCCCAATATGTACTGCGAGCACGATGATCCTGTAAAATCCGCATGACAAAGGAAAAACCGAGGTGTCAAGAGAGGCAGTCACGTGCCCAAAGCCAGCGCTAGGAAAAGGCAGCGCTGGAAGCTGGACGCACATACGTGGGCTCCCCAGGAGAAGTTCTTTTGTTTGCTTGTTTTGACTGGCTGATGGTAGGGTTGCACCTAAGGGGACCAGGAGGTGTTTGGCGAATGATGCGCGCTTGGAGAACCTCAGTCGGGACTGGGGTGTGGGAGAGGCTCCAACAGCAAGAGTCAGATGGCTCCCGCAGGGTCCGGGACTGCACGTTTCCAATTCGGCCTCCGAGAACCTCGGACAGGGGATTCCGGCCGATCCCAGCACATGCCACCTGGCGGCGCCCCAGGACACACGCTGCCACCGCCCCCTTCAGCACAGCTGGCCGGCTCATGCTCATCTCCTCCACGCCCCCACCCCAAGCCCTGTTGACAAAGAGACCCAAATCAGGACCGGGGGCCTGAGGAATGGGACAGAAAAGGACTCAGGACCCCTGCTGAGGCCCCAACATAAGGATATCATTGTAGGACCTTGGGTGAGTCACTTCTGAGGTCTCAGTTTCCACCACTGTTAAATGAGATAATAACTGCGATCTCATAAATCAGCGTGAGAATTAAATGAGAATATACGGGAAGAGCATGCAGAAAGCATTCGATCCATTTTAAATCTCATTATTATATTAACTTTGGAGACCCCCAGGGCTCAGTTCTTAAATTTCTCCTTCATGTATACACACACACACACACACACCCTGTGGAAACCTCACCCAATCTTGGGGCTTTTAAACACTATCTAAATACTAAGACTTCCCAAATGTGCATCCCCAGCCCAGAACTCTTTTCTGAATTCTAGAACCTTCTATCCAACTGCCTCCTTGACATCTCCAACACCTCTAGGCCAAAACTGACATCCTGATCTCACCCCCACCCCCCCGGAAAAACGACTTCCTCCACTCAGTATTCCCCATGTCAGTAAGTGGCAGTTTTATCTTTCCAGGTGCTCAAGCCTGGAGTCTGCCTCTTCTTCCAAACCCCACATTTGATTGATCCATCAGCAAATCTGACAGCACTACGTTTATGGAACAATCACTCTTCATCAGAATCCAATCATCCCTCATCACCTCTATAGCACCCAGCATGGTTCAAGCCACCATCCTCTCTCACCTGGACTAATGCAATCATCCCATCTGATCTCCCTAATCTCATCCTTACCCCACACAGACTCTGTATGACATAGCAAACAAAGACCGTATGACAAATCTCGTTCCTCCTCTACTCAGAACCCTCCATGGCTCCCCATTTCTTTCACAGTAAAAGTCAAAATCTCTCCCAGGCAGATCAGCCTCCTGGATGGTTTGCTTTAAAAACAGCGTTTGCTGTGCAGATGTCAGGATGCACTGAGGTGTGTCCTTTGCTGTCTATCTGTGGAGGGGGCTCACAGAACCAATGCCAAGATGATGCTTTCAAGGGCCAAACTTGCTGTCGGCAGGGACCTACTGCACATTGGCAAAGGAAAAAAGGAAGATTCTAAAAGCAGAGGAGGTATTTTCACAAAGAGATTTCACTGGTGCTATTACCCTATTGGAGTTCAAACTTCATGTCAGAAAAGAAGAGGATACTAATTTGTGGATTGGATACTATGCTTTTCAACTGGGTGGCTACAAGAGAGCTCTGGAGAAATATGAAAATGTGATAAAAGAGGAAAATTGCAATCCTGAAGTCTGGGTGAACCTAGCCTGCACCTATTTCTTTCTTAGGATTATAAACAAGCTGAAGCAGCTGGATTTGAAACTCCAAAAAGCTGACTCCAAAACCACCTGCTCTTCCACTGGCTCACAAGAGAAGATTTACTTTTGCTTCTGGCAGCCCCATAGGATAGGGACAAATCAACTGTTTCTTGTCAGGGATGCACTGCCAATATCATCCTGAATGTGGAAAAGGTGAAAGCCTTTCCCTAAAGAACAGGAACAAGACAAGGATGCCCACTCTCACCACTTCTATTCAACATAGCATTGGAAGTACTAGCCAAAGCAATGAGGCAAGAGAAAGAAATAAAGAGCATCCAGATTGGAAAAGACAGAGTCAAACCATCCTTGTTTGCAGATGATGTGATCTTATATATAGAAAAACCTAAAGACTCTACCAAAAAACTTTTAGAGCTGATAAATGCTTTCAGTAAAGTTGCAAGATACAAAATCAACATGCAAAAATCAGTAGCATTTTTATACTCCAACAACAAACCAGCAGAAAAAGAAATCAGGAAAGCAAGTCCATTTACAATAGTCACCAAAACAATAAAATGCCTAGGAATAAATTTAACCAAAGACGTGATAGATCTCTACAATGAGAACTTATAAACCACTGCTGAAAGAAATTTAGAAAGACACAAAAAGAAGGAAAGACATTCCATGGTCTTGGATTGGAAGAATTAACATTAAGAAAATGTCAATACACCCAAAGTGATCTACAGATTCAATGCAATCCCCATCAAAATAGTAATGACACTTTTCACAGAAATATAAAACCAATCCTAACATTCATATGGAACAACAAAAGACCCTGAATAGCCAAAGCAATCCTAAGCAAAAAAATAATAATAAAGCTGGAGGCGTTAAACTACCTGACTTCAAGTTATACTAAAAAGCTATAGTAACCAAAACAGCATGGAACTGGCATAAAAACAGACACTCAGACCAACAAAACAGAACACAGAACCCAGAAATCAACCCAAAAACTTACAGCTAACTGATTTTTGACAAAGGCAACAAGAACACACAATGAGGAAAAGACTGCACCTTCAATAAATGGTGCTGAGAAAACTGGACATGCATCAGTAGGAGAATGAAACTAGATCTGTACCTCTCACCATATACCAAAATCAACCCGAAGTGGATTAAGACTTAAATATAAGACCTGAAACTATAAAACTCCTGAAAGAAAACATAGGGGAAATACTTAGGGAAGTAGGACTGGGCAAAAACTTTATGAAAATATGTGTAATCAATTATGTTTCAATAAAAAGATAAAAATAGTTGAAATGATTTTTTTCTTTTGAGAAACATAACTATTTTTTTTAGGCAAATGACCTGAATAGACATTTCTCAAAAGAAGACATAAAAATGGCCAAGAAGTATACGAAAAAATACTCAGTTGTCAGGGAATTGCAGGGAAATGCAAATCAATACCACACTGAGATATCATCTCACCCAGTTAGAATGGCTATTATCAAAAAGACAGAGAATGACAAATGCTGGTGAGGATATGGAGAAAGGGGACCCCTCCTACACTGATGGTGGGACTGTAAATTGGTGCAGCCATTATGGAACACAGTATGGAGTTTCCTCAAACAACTACAGATAGAACTACATACGACCCAGCAATCCCACTGCTGGGTATATACCCAGAGGAACGGAAATCATCATGTCAAAGGGACACCTGCACTCCCATGTTTATCACAGCTCTATTTACAATAGTCAAGAGTTGGAACCAACCTAAATGTCCATTGTAGGACAATCAGATAAGGAAAATGTGGTATATTTTCACAATGGAATACTACTCTGCCATATAAAAGAATGAAATACTCCCATTCACAGCAACATGGATGAACTTAAAGAAAGTTATGTTTAAAAAATAAAAAGAAAGAAAAGAAAATTATGTTAAGTGAAATAAGCCAAGCACAGAAAGAGAAATACTGCACACTCTCACTCATAAGTGGGAGCTAAAAAAATAAACAAATACATAAAAGAAAGAAAGATACAACGATCACAATAATACATTGAACTTTCTAAAGGAGAGAACAGAATTGAGGTTACCAGAGGTTGGAAAGGGGGAGGGGGAGTGGGGTTAGTGAGAAATTGGTAAAGGGGCACAAAAAATGATTACATTGTGTAATGTTGAATATATTAATTATCCTAATTTGAGCATCACATATTGCACACAGGTATTGATATTCAACATGGTACCCCACAGATATGTACAATCAATTATGTTTCAATTAAAAGAAAGAAAAGAAAGTCAAAATCCTTAGTAGTCTCCAAGACTCTGTGTGAATTTACTTATTCACTTATTTATCATTTATCATTTATCTCCCCCTCTAGATGTCAACTACGCAAGGACTCAAACAGTGTCTTGGTCACAGTAGATGCTCAATAAACATTTGTTGAATTAATATTATTATTGTTGACATTGTCATTGCCCCACCAATCCCCTATCAGGGACTACTCCACTGTATATTTCCCCCAGCCTGGGCATCACCCTTACTGACTTCCTCAGTAAGCTCCCATGTCTAGATAGTCACCCCAATCGAGTCTCTTCCTGTCCTGCCTGAACCTCGGTTTCCCTCTTCCCCAGGGCTCCAACCCCAGTGCCCCTCACAAGCCACCTCCTTGCCAGCCCCATATCTATGTCCTGCCCTGCCCCTGCTCACACACCCTCCGTAGCTCCCTATTGCCCTCAGCATAAAGCCTGTGCATTGGGCCTTTTACCACTCCTCCTCCACTCCACGTATCGAACCACTTCCAGCCCCTGGTGAATTCCTCGAGCACATCGTGCTCTCCACCCCAAAGCATTCGTGGATACTGTTTCTTCTGCCTGGAATGTTCCTCCCTCTTCTTGTCACCCACTCAACTTCTACTCCTACTTCAGCATCAGAGAAGTTCTCCCTGACTCGCCCCCATCCCCCTACTACATTCGCCCCAGCACCAGGGGCCTCTAGTTTGCAGCACTTGTCACAGGCTGTAAATGAACATTCACACGTGGAATTATTTGTTCAACATCTGTCTCCCTCTCCACGACGGCAGGAATTGGGCCTATCTGTGCTCCCGGCCTTGGGCCAGCAGTCCCTTAATTAATATGTGATCAGTTGATTAAATAAACGAATGCACGAAATGTCCCCAAAAAAGTCTGATTTTGTGCCCTAGGGAAAACGGCTTCCCAGCCTCCGAGCCCACAGCTTCCCTCAGGCGCTTCCCAACTGCACAGAGCCCCGTATTCCCATCCTGGGCTCCAGGTGTGAGGGTCTGGCTTGGCTAGTGGGTGGAGGTTGGGAGGGAGATGTCTGCATCCTTTGCTTTTATTCTACAAATATCAGAACACTCAGCAAAGGGCTTTTGAGCAAGCGAGACAGGAAGAGTCTTGTGACGGTCTGGGTTTACAAAACAACAACGAAAGCAAACAACCCGAGCCCCGGATACAGCCCGACGCCCGAGCAGTCCGCCCATAGGTGCTGAGGGCCTCAGGAAGGTGACGTCCGGTTCAGGGCTCTGATCTCAGGCTCTAGCTTCCGCGTCCTCAATTTATAAGCCAGTGGGATCCAGCCAGTAGGGGACGAGGCTTGAGTCCGAGAGGTGGGTCTTAGGTCCTCGGAAGGCCCGGTGGGCGGGGCCTGAGGGACCTAAATCCGCAGGGGTGTGGCCTAAATACCTCAAGCCTCAAAATCCTGGGGACGGGGCCTGAGCCCCAGGGGGCGTGGCCGAGCCTGGTTCCTCATGCCGGAGGACAGTGCGAGAACTTGGGGGCGGGACGTGGACCTCAAGGGCCGGGGTCAGACCCTTAGGGGGCGGAGCCTTGCCCTGAGGGGCGTGGCCAACACCGTCAGGCGCTCAGCGGCGGAGCCTGGTCCTCCAGGGGCGGAGCCTGGGCTTCGAGGGGCGTGGCCTATCCCGCAGGATCTTGGGGGCGGGGCCTGGGCCTCTGAGCGGATCTGGACCCCCGGTACCGCAGGGGCGCGCCCGCGCTCAGGCCCGCGGAGGCAGCGGCTCCACGTTGAGCCAGATGCCGTTCTCCGTACGCAGGATGAGCTCCGGCTTCCGCCGCACCTTGCGCGTTCGGTCCACGCTCAGGCGAAAGCGCAGCAGCGTCAGCGCCACGACCACGCGCATCTCGGCCATGGCAAAGCTCTGTCCGATGCAGTTCCTGCACGAAGGGAGAAGGGGCTCGGGCCCAGCCTCTGTGTGAGCAGGGATCCCTGGGCCTCTCATGCCCCTAAAATGGGACAAGCATCCTGGGCTGGATGAGGGCTAAAGGAGACTCCAAGAGTCGCTAAATTAATATGAACTTGGAGTCAAGTGTTCGAATCCTGGAGCAGCCTCTTGATAGCTGTGTGTCCTAGGTAAACGACCTCCCCTTCCCTCATCTATAAAACGGGGACAATGACATCATAGAACCATCAGGAGCATGTCAGCCCAGAACTTAGGGCCTGACACACAGTAGGTGCTCAGTACCCTGGGGTGCTATTGCAGAGTCTGATTCGAGGATCCCCTGGTGCGTTGAGGGGTGCAGAGAGGGCACTGCGTTGGCAGAAAGAACACTTGAGTGGGACGCGGTCTCTGCTCCTGATGGGCACATCCCTGGCCTTCCACTGGTCTGTTCCTCCCAAGCCAGTCTTGGACTGGAGGAATAGAGGACTTACCTGGGTCCTGCCGAGAAGGGCACGTAGGCCAGTGGGGACCGCTGCTGTGGGTTGTCCGGATCAAAGCGGTAGGGATTGTACACCTAGGCAGGAACACCCTAGAGGTGAGTCTGGGGGCTGTCCCAGACATCCCAGCCTGGTCCCCTCCCTCAGCCTCTGGGAACCAACACAGGTGGATGGAGAGCAGCAGCGCAGGGCCACCTCTTCCATCCCACTCCAAACTACAGTCCAGCAACAACTGCCTCCCACCTCGTTCAGGCACTTTCCCACCTCAGGGCCTTTGCATCTGCTGTTTCTTCTGCCTGGAACACACTTCTCCCTACTCTCCACACCCTTCAGGTCTCAGCTCAGACCTCTCTTCCTCGGCAAGGCCTTTCCTGACCACCTGAGCTAATGCACCTTGCCCCCACCAGTTTGTACTCCGTTTGTGCATTTATCAATACCCAAAATGATCTTTATCTGTTTATTGTCTTCCTCTGAACTTAACTGTGAGCCCCATGAGGGCAAAGACAGTATCGCCCTCTATCCTCAATACCCAGCACAGGGTCTGGCACACAATAGGTGTTCAATAAATATTTGTTGACGTAATGAATTAACAATAAGTGGGTGAATAAATGGGGAGGGGGGGTAAGGTGCTCAGGACCTGAAACCAGCCTGCAGTCTGGCTCCCCAGGGAGCAGGGGAGAGGAGGCTCTACCACCCTAGAGCTGCCTCTGCTGGGGAGGAAGGAACTGAGGGCAGGGAGGGTTGGGGCAGGAGCTCACCTTGGAGTCAGGCCACACTATGGGGTTATGGTGGGTCCCGTAGATGCTGACCAAGCAGATGATTCCTGTGGGGAGAGATGGAGTTAGTGATACCATGGGGAGCCAGGGCCTCTTCTGGAGACATTCCCCTCCCTGGAGAGCCACAAGCCATCTGCCTGTTCATCCTTCCCTGAAAAATTCTGCTGCTCCATCTACTTGCCCTGACTCTCCCTAAGAAGTCCCCATCACCTTCTTTCCAGTGCTATGCTGGCCACACATTGATCTTTCTCACTCACAGATCTGACATTGCTCCTCCTCAGCTCACACACCTCCATTGGCTCCCTACTGCCCTCAGGATCAAGTTCGCGTGTCTCTGCCTGGCAACCAATGTCTTTCACAGTCTGCACCCTGAGGCTCTGCTTCACAAACATGCTCGCTCTTTCACCTCCAACTTCTGAGGCTCCCCTCCCACTTTCCCTACTCCAGACAGCCTTCCCTGCCTTCCTCCCCAAATAGAGCCATCCCTCCGTATTTGGGCTGCTCCGGCCCCTCTCCCTCCCTTTAACCATCCCTGACCTCATGTAGCTGGAAATGTCTGTGCCCTGCTGTATCTCCCCCCAGACTGGCCTGGAAAGGAGGCCTCTCTAGACCCCCAGCATCACCCAGGACAGGGCTCAGTCTCTCCCTGACCTCATGTAGCTGGAAATGTCTGTGCCCTGCTGTATCTCCCCCCAGACTGGCCTGAAAAGGAGGCCTCTCTAGACCCCCAGCATCACCCAGGACAGGGCTCAGTCTACAGGGGATATCTGGCAACTGAATGAAACTGACCCTCCCCCACCTGCACCCTTGCAGGCCCGATCCTGCCACACTGACAATTTCCTCCTTTCTGCCTGGACTCACTCACCCGTCTCCCCCATACACAATTGGGTGTCCCCCACGACCCCAGAAGCAACAGGCACTCAGAGCACTGCCCCATTTACAGGGATAGTGCACCTGGGACAGGCATGGCCAGGCCCCCCCAGACAATAGAGCAGCCATGTCATGGGGGATGGTGCACTGGCAGCAGGGGGCACATGTGGGCACCTTTGGGGATGATGCGCCCGTCTGGGAGCTTGATGTCCTCCGTGCAGCGGCGAGAGATAAGGGTCACGGGTGGGAACTGGCGCAGGCTCTCCTTGATGCACATAGTGGTGAAGGGCAGCTGAGTCAGGTCATCCCTGGGGAGCATGGAACCGTGACTTGGGGCGAGGCCATGTGACACCCCCTCCCCCAAACACGCACATACTCAGGAGCATCTGGGAAGGAAACCAGTCTAGGATTTCAGAAGCACCCCGACTTCCACCATTTGCAGTCATCCATGCACAGAGTCACTAACATTTAGGATGCAAAATATCAGTACCAACCAGTCAAGCTAGCACTGGAGCAGGCTTCTGGGTGCCCCTACTGGGCCCAGCATTAACCCCTTTTTTTTTTTACCGGTAAGGGGATCACAACCCTCGGCAGGGTGTGGTCTGCGCCACACTCAGCCAGCGAGCACACCAGCCATCCCTATATAGGATCCGAACCCACGGCCTCGGCGCTATCAGTGCCACACTCTCTGAGTGAGCCATGAGGCTGACCCGGCATTAACCCTTTAATTGATGAATTATGTGGAAGTCAAGAGTCACCCAAAGGAGGTGTCAGAACAGCCAGGGGTGCTCAAAGCAGCTGCAATTTACCAGCATGTATGGATCCATTTCACTATTTAAAAACCCATGCATCCTCTCCTTATACTATCATCTACTTGATATTTTTTTACTTTGGACTTTAGGGCCCCAAATTGGATTAATTATAATGCTTGGTTCATGATCTAGATTGTTTTCCTTAAACCAACAGGGTCTCTCTGAGGGTGAGGAGACATATGGAACAGATCTGAGCCTGACCTTCAATTTGGAAGCAACCCCACCCCCACTCAGCTGAGCCCAGCAGCAGCAAGAGTAATGTGTACACAAGAGCAAGAAGTAAATGCCTGCTGTAAACCACTAAGTTTGGGGGCTGCTTGTTATGCAGCATCATTGCAACAATTGCTGACTAAGACATTTTGAGAACTCCTGCTTCATAAGGTAGACATAGCATTATTATCATCCCCATTTTACAGCTGAAGAGATGGGAATTCAGGACGCTTGCGTGACTTGTCTAAGGTCACACAATCAATAGGCGGTAGAGCAGATATTCACACTCAGGGCTCTGGCCTCAACCTGCCCCCATCAGTCCCCAAACTAACCACTCGAGCTCTTCCAGCTCCCGGCCTTTCATGACTTCCTGAATCTCTTCACGGCACTTCTCCTGGTATTCCGGATACTTTGCCAAGTTGAACAGCACCCATGAGAGCCCACTGGACGTAGTGTCATGACCTGTGGGTAGATGAGGTACTGAATGAAATTGCCTGAAGATAGCAGAGATGCAATTTTCAGATGATGGTGCCCCTCCCCATTCTCCTTCGGCCTCACCCCATGTCCTCACCCTCAAACATGAAGGTGTCTGCCTCAGCTCGGATGTCCTCGTCCGACAGTTCCTTTCCATCTTCATCCTGGAATGGGAAGCAGGGGAGGCTCAGCCCACTTCATCCCACCCTCTGCATTCTAGACACTCCTCCAAAGTCGGATATACCCTCCTGTCTCTTAAGCCAAGCTGTGGGGGAAATATTACAGGCAGAGGGAAATGCACAACTTGTCTAAGAAAGATGGAAAGAAGGAAGGAGAGTCAAAGGAGAGAGGAAGAATGGAGTTCATATTTCTTGAGCAACTCCTGACACCAAGCAACCTGCGGGATGCCCGACAAGAACCTTGTGCTTAGGTCTTATGATCGCCATGGTATAACTGAGAAAGCTGAGGCTCAGAGAGAATAGTAATATGACTCAGGTCGAACATCCACGAAGGCTGGCCGGTTAGCTCAGTTGGTTAGAGCACAGTGTTATAACACCATATAACACCAAAGTCAAGGGTTCAGATCCCCATACTGGCCAGCCGCCAAATAAGTAAATAAATAAATAACCCAAAACATCCACTAAGTGGCAAAGCCAGGACTGGAATCCAGGTTTATCTGAATCCAGAACCCAAGTGCTGCTCAAAAATTCCACAGAAACACCACCAATGGGTGACAATACATCTCTGTGACTGTCACATCTTGTCGAGGTCCCATATGTCATCTTTGTAAGTGTTATGGGATGAATTGTGCCCTTCCCCCTCCCCCAGAATTCATATGTTGAAGTCCTAACTTCCAGCACCTCAGAATGTGACCACATTTGGAGAGGTCTTTGTAGAGGTAATCAAGCTAGAATGAGGTCTTTAGGGTGGGTAATCAAGTTAGAATGAGGTCTTTAGGGTGGGTAATCAAGTTAGAATGAGGTCTTTAGGGTGGGCCCTTATCCAATATAACTGGTGTCATTACAAGAGAAAATTCAGACACAGGCATGCACAAAGGGGAAATGATGTGAAGACAACAGTGCCATCTATAAGCCAGGGAGAGAAACCTCAGAAGAAACCAACCCCACCAACACCTTGATCTCCGGCTTCCATCCTGCAAAACCGTGAGATAATAGATTTCTGTGCTTTAAGCTGCCCAGCCTTTGATGCTTTGTTACAGCAGCACAGGCAAACTCAGACACTAAGTCATACGTGTCTGCATCTCACTCTGTCCTAGGTCTACCTGAGTCTTAACATTTATCACTTTCCGCAGTCAGTGCAACTCCCGGGCAGCTCTCCGCCCTCCGGGGCCCAGCCTCACCCTGGCCAGGAGCAGCACATCAATGAAGTCCAAGGTCTTGCCCTGCTTGGCCTTCAGCCAGGCCTCGGCCCCCTGCTGGCGCAGGGCCCTCCGCCGCTCCTGGATGACCTCGGTGGTGAAGCGGTGCACGGTGTCACAGGCCTCCCGGAAACGCCGCCCGTCTGCCGTGCGGTAATAGATGAAGTCCAGGTAGTGGTGCAGGCGGTACTGGCGCCGCACGGCCAGCGCACTCAGCTCAATGATGGCCGAGATGTAATCGCTCATCTTCCTGCCAGGGAGAAGGGCCGTGAGCGCAGGTCCATCCCCCTAGCCCAGCCCGGCCGGCCAGGCCTGCTGCTGGGGCTGAGACAAGCCTCCTCTCCCTTTAGGGTAACTAACAAAGAAAGGTCCTGGATTAACTCTATTTTCTTATGTTCTGTATTCTTGATGCTCTGGCATCGGGGGCTACTCTAACTGGGGAAAGATGCCCCTGGAAGGACTAGTCACTTCCTAAAAATAGCAAACGACGCATCCAAAGGAATGTCTTTTATATGCAAACCAACTAATCCAGAACACACACTCCGAACTTTATGTGGCCAAGCCTCTATTCCCCTGCTATGATCACCCCAGGACCATGTATTGGACAACTAGGGGCAGCTCCTACATACCCCAGAGTCCCATGAAATTATTCAAAATAGCCAATCCTAAACCTGATTACTTTGCCTCACCCGTTCCTACCTGTGGAAACCACAATAAAGACTTTTGCCTGCATTTTTTTCAATTAACCCCAGTGCTTCTTTGTGTGATCCTGCAAGATGTAATGTTTCCCCTGCTCTTGGAAGCTTTAAGACACAAATTATCTTTTTTTTTTTTTTTTTTTTTTTTTTTTGCAGGCGGGTGGGGCAAGGACCCAAACCTTTTACCTGGGGGTTAAAACCCCCCCCCCCCACCAACTGGAA